GGACGATCACGATGCACGATGGGCGGGCACGATGAGCAATAGGCGAGCACGACGTGGACGATGGGCGAGCACGGTGGACGACGGAGGCGGAGAAACGCCACAGACAAGTGCATAACCGCAAACTTTCGGAGGCTCGCGCGGGCATCCGAAAATCCATGTTGATGCCGTCCTCGTTCTTCGAGAAGCGGACGAGAACGCGGGAGGCAGGCGGGCCAGGCGGCTGGGACGTGAGGCCAGATTGTATCCTCCCTCTTCTGCGCCCTGGCGTGCCTGCAGCAATGCAGACCTGGGGGGCCGCAGGCACGCCTGGTGTCAGCCGGCCTCTGCAGCTGGCCGTGGCAGTGACCGACAAGGTGGGGCGTGAAGGGCGAGGGGGGGCGGACAAGAGGAATAGAAGGGACAGCGACGGCAGCGCCAGAACGGGGGGGGAGAGAGCGGGGGAGGAGGCAAGCCGGGTGCGCTCGCGCCATATCGCCTCCCTTCGCGATGATTGTTCTCTGTCTGGCGGCAGGTATCATAGCGGACCTGGCACCCTCAAAAGGACCCCACGTCGTATTGCGCGCAGTCTAGAGGATGATGAGGTGGTGGATGAAAGGGGGAAGAGGACAAGGAGGTCGAAGACGGGAGCGAGGAGAAGGGCGGCGACGACTACGAGCAGCAGCAGAAGCAGGCATCGCTGCTCGTCGTCGTCAGTTGCCTCCTGCTAAATCAAAACGTAACATGTGCTTCGAATCACTTTGGCGCTGGGAGTCTTCTCACCCGTGGCGGTATGAACAATTCACGCAATCACGATCACAAACATCATTTGCATCTGTCTTTGCCGGGAAGCGTGTCGCAGCAGTCTCCAATTATTGGGGCCGACATGTAGTCTTCGCCCAAACTCCACGAGACAGCTTCATTTCAAGGCACAGCTCAGCCTTTCTGATGCGAAAGCTGTCGCGCCTGTCTACCATCGTCAATGCATTCGGATAGTTGCTCACAACTGCCGCTGGCGAGAAACCGTACTGACACTGCCCACGCATACCAGGATGTCTTTGGCCACAACATGGCTGCGCAATACACAACGGGTTCGCCGTGCGAGGTTCTACACTCCCCGAGCCTGCATCCTGTAAGAGTTTACCTCAGGGCTGAGCATCACTAGCATCACGCTCACATGTTGACGACGACGTCCTCGTCCTCGTCCTCGTCATCGCCATCGTCATCTTCATCGTCGTCATAAGCATCGTCATCGTCATGGTCATCGTCACCTCCGGCATTGAAGGTGTTTTTGAACAAGTTTCTTGATTATAATTTTGCTAGTGATCAAACCTGCTCCTTGCCCACCCCTTCTGCACGGCAGAATTGGGCCCGCTGGCCTGCCAAGCTCCGAATGCCCCGTGCCGAGCACTGGGCCGAGAGACTGTAAAACAGGCTCCAGCAACACGGCGACGCCCAGCTGCGCAACACGTCACGACGATCTGCACACAGAGGCATGTACCTCCAGGGATGGCGACGGTGTAGAACGTCGCTGGCTCGCAATGGTGATTCATACACCACCACCCCCTGATGCCCAGCAACAATCCATTGAAGGTTTTTTTTTCTGGCGGATACATGGCATCGACGTCGAGACAACAAGAGCCTTCCGAAATCACGATCTCGAGCGCTGCGTCGCTTTTCCTGCGCGCTTCGTTCCATCTCTGCTGCGCCAAGATGTGTCCGTCCTCGAAGAAGCCGCAAAGAACCATAAAGCACGAACGTAACCAACGGCGGCGGATGGGCCAATCCGTGATTCCATTTGTCCAGGACCGCAGGCCAAGCACGTGATTAGTTACAACGCCATTCCCGCGCAAGTCTGCAACGGTCCTGGTGCCAACTGTGCGTATGGTCCCCCATATCGCATTGCCTTCCAGTGTGTGCTCGGCTCTCACTCTCCCGGCATCACCTTAGCCTCCAGATCGTCAGTGCAGCACTGACCAACAAAAACAATACTGGAAGGAGAGTCGTCACATGCCGACCGAGCAATCCTGCAATGTAACACCTACGTGCAACTGAGGTCACAGATTTCATCCCGCATCGAGAGAAGGCAACTCGATAGCCGTTTGCGTAAGCTACAACTGCTCGAGTGCTGCTGGAGTTGTAGCGAAATCCGGTGAAGATCAGCTCCATTGCTAACTGTAGGCTCTGCTCAACCTCTGTGAGAACCACGCCGCATGTATGTTCGTGGCCGACCGTCTTCGCACTGGCACTTGCCCTGTTGACTTTCCAGCGCATCGCCTGGCACGTCCTGGATTCGCGCCCTTGCACTTGGCACAGCGGGACAGCTGGCTATGTTACAGACTTGAGCCGCAGCAATTTCACCAAACCATAGTAGGAGTACTCGCCCTCGCGCTCAGCTCTACACGACACTTGAGCCACAAGCGCTTGAGACAAAACGACTGTGGAGGCATCCTTTTCGACGTTTTCGTCGTTGTCGACATCATCGTCGTCGCCACCGTCGCCGTCTGTAGACGTCGTTGTCCGACAACGATCCGCTTAGAATCGGTTCCTGGACCCCCCCTGGGTCCATGAGGGGCTCGATGTAAGCACCACGCCGTCTGGACGACCATGGAGTTCGGTGTATAGACGCCTCAGCTTCGCAAGCTGCGTGACTCTGGAGAACGTACATATACACCGAACTCCTTCGCCGAATTCCCTGGCTCGTTGGCCGGCCAAACGAGCCCCTCCCAGTCCACTCTGGCCAGGCTCCCGAGGCGTATCAAGCCTTGGCGCAGAGTGCCTCTGGAGACGCCCACAAGAACCTTTGGAACGAGGACGACGCCGTCGCCGCCGCCGCCGTCGGTCTCCACAGCGCGCCCGCAGCTCGGAGGCGCCATCATCGCCATCGTCATGGTCGTCGTTGTCGACGTCATCGTCGGTGTCGACGTCGTCTGAATCCTTGTCGACGTCGACGTCTTCGTCTTCGTCGATGTCGCCGTAGTCGTCGCGACCCTGCAAGATTCTGCACGTGGCCGCCTTTGGGGTGCGTCTTGGCAAGGACTTTAAGTGGGAGTCCAGCCGTAGCGACGAGAGGCATCCCGACAGCTTCCGGATGGCAGAACGCCGTCAAAGGAAACAGACCCCCAGAATCCCTGGCCCCTTGCCCAAGGCGGGCGCCCAACCTCGAGTCGTTTCTCGACGGCCCTGGAAGCCACAACTGGGCTCCGAAGGCCAATAATGAAGGGGTCCCAGGACGCACAAATAAATACACACAAATAAAAATATTCTCCATATTTTCCTATATTTTCTGGGTTTCTGTCTTCCCCCCCACTTCCCATATTTTCCCATATTTTCTGGGGAATCGACGATTAATTGTGTCTGTGTGTTTTTTCCCCTCCTGACAGAGACCTGGACTCCATCTTGTTGCGCCGTTCTCCAGACCGGATCGATCCGTGAGGGCCCCGGGGCCCGAGACGAGGCCAGCTCTCGCCCGCCGTGAACGCACGCGACGCCAGGATCTGAGAGGAAAGAACACAGGACCGGGCGCCTCGATTTTTCCGAGGCTGAGGGTTGCGGATGCCACGACAAGGGACACCCTGACAGTCCTATCCTTGAATTCCAGGTGTGCTTGACATGTGTGGAACATGCTCTAACCAGGTTTCAAGCGTGGTTTTGCATATTTGAAACATGTTCGAACCATGTTTTCGACATCTGGAAATTCTTTGGCAGCACGCTGCCTCTCCATTAATCGACGTCCACAAGCTGAGGGGCAACGATATGGGGGGGGGGGCGACTGGCATCAGGGGGGAAGCATCGAGCTGGCATCGGCGACACGTCGCCGACACACCGGCGCCAAGGCCCCATATCGTGAGGCCGCACGTTCCTGGGCAGGCGTTCGGACTATCGGGCGCCCATCGGCGATCAATGGGCGAGTGGGGTCGATGCATCTCCCCCTACCCTGACCTTCCAGGAGGGCTAAAAAATAGCACCCGACCTAAAAACCTATCCCAGAGCCATTCTACGTCTTGGTTTTAGGCTGTTTCGTTTAGTTTTTTAGGTTTTTAGGTCTCCAGTGCTAAAAAATAGCTCTCAGGAAGGTCAGGGTATGCCTACCCCCCCCCCATCGTTTCCCCTGATGGAGGTTTTCGAAGATCTGGGTTTCGTTTGTTCTCTTGGTTCGCGACGGCTGTCCAGCCCCGGGGTGCCCTCCAGCGGCTGCGCCTCGCCGAGGGCAATCCGGAGTTGTCCAGACTGTTCCGATGCCACGAGGGGGCCGGCTCACGGGGAGAAATGTCGGGGTGGCATCGGCGATGCATCGTCGATGGATTGAGGACAGGCACCCGATGCCGAGTCGGCCCGTTCCTGGGCGGGGTGGGCGACCAGGCCCCTATCCGATCGATGCGCTCCCCCTGAGCCTATCCCCCCCTAGCGTTGCCCCTGCTGGTGTTCGTGCCGCAACTTGTCTCTCTGGCGGCCGCTGAGAGCGACTCTGGCACCCCTGGAACGCCCTCGGCGATGCACAGCTGCTGGAAGGCAGCCCGCGGCTGGAAACCCGCCGCGGACCGATGCCATCGCCTGAAAAAACCTCAGACCTCGAAACTTCGTCCCCTCGTGCGTCTACCCCCCCACCCCTGGGCGGGGTGGGCTACCGTCGGGTCGGGCGAAAGGGGGGGGATAGCAAAGGGGGGGGTTGAGAATCAGCTCACGCAGCTGCTTCTCCCGGCGCCCCCCGGCGCCTGGGGGCGCCCATGTATATCGAGGAATGGGCCCGGCGGCGGGGCCGAAGCCAGCTGCACGCAGCAGATTTCATTACCCCCCGTTTCCCAATCCCCCCCTTTCGCCCGACCCGATACCGAGAGGCGCCGGACGCCTGGGACCGGCGCGTCGTCGTCGGCGACGTCGCCCCGCCGTCGTCGTCGTCGTCGTCGTCGACGTCGTCGTCGACGTCGTCGTCGTCGTCGACGTCGTCGTCGTCGACGTCGGCGTCGTCGACGTCGTCGTCGTCGGCGACGTCGCCCCGCCGTCGTCGTCGACGTCGTCGTCGCCTCCGCGGGGCGCCGGCAGCTCGCAGTCGCCGGGCCCTCCCGCCTCGGCCGCCGCGCGCGCTGGCGCCACCGGCCGCGCGCCGGCGGCTCCCGTCGCCGTGGCTCTGCTCATCGTCGTCCTCGTCGTCCCGCGTCCCTCGTCAAAGTCGTCGTCGTCGTCGTCGTCGTCGTCATCGTCGTCGTCGTCGTCCTCGTCCTCGTCCTCGTCCTCGTGGTCGTAGCCGTCCTCCCGGCACCTCCACCTCCTCCTCGTCCTCGTCGTCGGCGCCGTTGCCGCTGTCGTCCTCGTCTGCGTCCTCGTCCTCGTCGGCGGACGAGAATCGAGAGACGAGCAGGGATGAGGAAACTGTGATGGGGAAGGAGGGGGAACAGGGGAGAGAGTGGGGAAAAATGATCGGCCCCTCCAGGCTCCTCCTCTCCTCCTCCTCCTCCTCCTCCCGCCTCCTCCTCCTCCTCCTCCTCCTTCTCCTCCTGTCCGTCCTGTCCTCCGCATCCTCTCCTCTCCTCCTCTCCTCCTCCTCCTCCCTCCTCCTCCTCCTCCTCCTCCTCCGATGCTCCTCCTCCTCCTCCTTCTCCTTCTCCCCCCTGTCCCTGTCCTCCTCTTCTGCATCACCCGTTCCTCCTTCTCCTCCTCCTCCTCCTCCTCCTCGAAACCGCACCGCTGCGACGAGTGACGGCTGGGAAACGAGCACGAAGATCGTAGACGAGCCTGGTGGAAACAGCGACACCAACTCCCTGGAGCCACATGAGCTGCTCGTTGCACATAAACATGTTCAGTTCCTCCTTCTCCTCCTCCTCCTCCTCCTCCTCGACTTGGTCTTTTGGCCGAACCGCACCGCTGCGACGAGTGACGGCTGGGAAACGAGCACGAAGATCGTAGACGAGCCTGGTGGAAACAGCGACACCAACTCCCTGGAGCCACATGAGCTGCTCGTTGCACATAAACATGTTCAGCCCCCGCGTCCTCCCACAGCTGGGGAAAGCAAAGACCAGCCCGGCACCCAAGCAGGCGCTCGTCCATATATGATGTACTGCAGCAGACGTCGCGGCGCCCGATATCTACAGAGGGATCCCGCGCCGAGAGGGGGAATCGACGGGCGTCCTCCCACGCCTCCCAGGAGGGAAAGCGAAGAGGAGGACGAACCAGGAGAACGAACAAGGAGGATGACGAGGAGGATGCGGGGGAGGACGATGACGATGATGAGGAGGAGGCGGATGAGAAGGAGGAGGAGGCGGAGGAGGAGAAGGAGCAAGCAAGCAAGACCTGGGCTGCCGTGAGTGAGAGTGAGAGTTCTAGCCACGACAATTGCTGCTGATGGAATCATTGCGCTTCTCGGGCAAGCCTGCGGGACCTTATAGCCCATCTCGGATCTTCACTTCATTCAACTCGCGCAGAGTTGAGGCGTTGAGCTCTGGGCACATAACCTCAGCCTCGGGGCTGAAAAAATGGGAAGGGGGAGGCCCCTTGGGTTCAGGGGGTCGCCGAAAGCAAAGCAAAATGAAAAACGCTACAGACTCTTCAAGCCATGAGAGATCATCATCAGTGCGTGCGCCTCCGTGTTACTTAGTTATTCACTCGTCTCCCCCCCTCCTCACCCCCCCACCCTCCCCGTCAAGTGAGCGGCAGCGGGTCGCCGAGAGACTTGGCAAATTCGCTTGACACTGACGCGTGCTCGCTTCTCGAACGATCTGGGCTCAGGTGATGAATGAATGGGCGGTATCGGTCGCAAAACGTAGCCGTTTGCGCCTAGCAGCCTCAATGGCACGCTAGGGCTTTACGTTCGAACGTCCCTCCCGTCAACCAGAGACTCTCCAACTGCTTATACGTGGCGACATGTGCCTAGCAGCCGCAACGACACGCTAGGACTTTACAGTCTAACGCAACTCATGCCAGCCAGAGCCTCGCTGCTATCACCCAAAGAGCTCACCAGTGTAATTGAGTACCTGCTTCCCAAGGGAGAGGACGAGGTGAGAGGGGACAGTGTGGTAGCTAGAAGCGGCCGACACGCACGCAAGCAACTTGAACCCTGGCCCATGCCAGAAGTCAAAAAGCACTGGCCGACGGAGGAGGAGGAGGAGGAGGAGGAGGAGGTGGTGGAAGAAAACTCACCAGGGTAACTGCATCCAAAGAGATTATCCAATCAAACTGAATGCCTTTCATCAGAGAACCCACCAGGGTGACTGAATGCCGAAAACTCACCTAGGTGACTGAATGCCTGTCTCCAGAAAACTCACCAGGGTAGCTGAGGAGGAGAAGGAGGAGGAGGAGCAGGAGGGCGACGACGACGACGACGGCCGCGACGCAGACCTCTGGAGCTGGTGCCAATGCCAATACTGACATGTTCAGGGCCGACCTGCCCTCGAACAAGGAAGGCCAGTGCCCCCATGCACGGCCTCCACAGGGACGAGGGAGGGGGGAGGAGAAGCAGGAGAAGTAGGGTGAGGGGGAGGGAGATGGGTGGAGGGAGATGGGTGGAACAGGGTTAGGAAGAGAGGACGAAGGAGGAGGAGGAGGAGGAGGAGGGGGTGGAGGAGGACGAGGAGGAGGAGGAGGAGGAGGAGGAGGAGGAGGAGGAGGAGGAGGAGGAAGGAGAAGGAGGAGAAGAGGAGAAGGACGAGAAGAGGAGGGAGGAGGAGGGAGAGGAGGAGGAGGAGGAGGAGGAGGAGGAGGAGGAGGAGGAGGAGGAGGAGTGTGGGGGAGGAGAAAGAGGAGGAGGGAGGGGGAGGAGGAGGAGGAGGAGGAGGGAGGAGGGAGGAGGAGGGAGGAGGAGGAGGAGGAGGAGGAAGGAGGAGGAGGAGGAGGAGGAGGAGGAGTGTGGGGAGGAGAAGGATAAGGAGGAGGCGGGGAGGAGGAGGAGGAGGAGGAAGAGGAGGAGAAGGAGGAGGAGGAGGAGGAAGAGGAGAAGGAGGAGTGTGGGGGAGAAGGAGGAGGAGGAGGAGAAGGAGGAGGAGGAGGAGGAGGACGAGGAGACGAGGAGGGCTCCAAACCTTTCCTCCCCCTTGTCTGCCTGGCACCCCCTCCTCGGCGACACGCAAGAGCTGCACTAGGCAAGAGTCACCTCTGGTGCCCGCTTGCGGATCCCCGCAAGCAGTGCGGCCCCCTCACGCTTCCCGAAAGCTTTGCACAAGAGGTCCGGGGAAGGGTCGCTCTCGCGTGGTTCGTTGCAGAAAGATTGAGTCAAAAAACAAGTGTGCAGCTGTGAGAGGGCCGATCGTTTCTTCCGCCAGTTCCGCCAGCCTGCTGCCGACATCCGCCAACCCAGCTGGCTCCGCTGTACTTCCGCCAGCCTTCGGCCGAGCAAGCGGTGTCAACTCCCGAGCTACTCGAAGGCGAAACCCTTCTCTGGAGTGACTCACATGGGGGCGCCCAAGAGGGGAGGGAGCCAAAGAGGGGGGTCGCAAATCTGGGTCATCCCGAGGCGATACGGTGTCCAAAAAGCAACGAAAACAGCCTCCCCCCTCCCCCAATCGACGACGAGACTGAGTCATCACTACCTTGGCCGCCCCCGACCCACGCGAGGCCGAAGCCCTCCCTCCCACCTCTTGGCATGAACGTAGCGGGTCCTGAGGGAAACGGGTCCTGTACCCCGAGGCCTTACCCCTGGTCTAATTCTTAACCCCAGCTCGCTCTTTGACCGGAAGAAGAAAGAACGGCATCAACATAAACTTTTGGCGCTCCGCGCGGATTTCTCGGATCTGCGCCAGATCCCCCCCTGGCTCGCGGAGCGCGCCAGGGGTGGCGCTGGAGCCGCCACCGGGGGGGGCCCAGCGCAGGTCCAAGAAATCCACGCGGAGCGCCAAGAAAATTATCTTTATGCCGTCAGGGGCCCGTGCAAGGCCCCGGGAGGCCCACAACGGCGGCAAATCCGGCGACCCGTCTTTCTCAGGACCCGATTCCTCGGGCGGCTGGCAGTGGGGGTGACTCAATTGGGGTGTGCAGAACAGGGCTCTCTACAGGGCCCCTTGAAGGCTTTTTCCTTCACCCCTCGCTTAGGTCACCCGCCCGCCCAAATTCCTTCCTGGCGACCCCTGCCGGGACCGCGCCGCCCGCCAGGCGGGCCCGTGCGGCGGCGCCGTCGGCAGGACCGGGGGCGCCACCTGCGCCTCGCGCACCTGCAGGGGACGCGCAAAATGCGCGCACGCGCGTGCGTGGCTGAGTTTCTCATCATCCTCCGCCTCCTCCTCCTCCTCCTCCTCCTCCTCCTCCTCATCCGCCTCCGCTTGCTGGTGCCAGACCCCCGACGTCGTGATTTTGTCATGACGTCGACCCCCAGAGGTCTCGACCCACTCCCTGGGACCGACACTTCGTCCCGAGTCGTTGTGTTGACGGTCCCGAGGCTGGTGAGGGCCTCCCGAGGCGGAAAGCCGCTGCGAGTTTTTCATGATTCGAGGGGGAGGAGGAGGAAGAGGAGGAGGAGGCGGAGGAGGAGTAGCAGGAGGAGGAGGAGGAGGAGACTGGGGGGGAGGAGGAGGAGGAGGAGGAGGAGGAGGAGGAGGAGGAGGAGGAGGAGGAGGAGGAGGAGGAGCAGGGGGGGGGGGAGGGGGAGGAGGAGGAGGGGGAGGGGGAGGGGGAGGGGGTCTGGGGTCGTGGGTCCTGGTCCTGCCTCCCTCTCTTCTGACCCCTCCCCTGGTTGTCCGCCAGCTCCACCGCCGCTGCCCTCCTGCCCTCCTCCGCCCTCGTCTGCGCTGCTCCACCTCTCCTCGTCCTCCCCCTGCTCCTCCGTGAGCTCATCCTGCTTCTCATCGTCCCCCCCCTCCTCCATTCCGTTTCCTTCAAGTCCGCCGAGCCGGCGTGTGGGTTTCTGAGAGCGTGGACTTCAGCTCGCTCAAGCTTCGCTCTGCAAGGGGGGGGGGGGAGACGCCATTCCCGACGCCATTCCCGACGCGTGTAGTGCTCGGGGCCGGGGGGGCCCACGCCATTCCCGACGCCGTCCCGACGCTCTGACCATGGGGGGGAGGGGGCCGACGCCATTCTAGACGCCATTCCCGACGCATGTCGTGCTCGCAAGACGCCTCCAAGACGCCCCAATAAGTATCCAACCACCTGCGAAGACAGACCCACGAGGTCCAAGATGGCTCAAGAGGCTCCCAAGACGACCCCAAAACTACCCAAGAGGGCGCCAAGACGGCCCAAGAAGCGCCCAACCGGCCCAAGAGGGCTCCAAGACGGCCCCAGGAGAGGCCCAAGAGGGGGAGCCCGAACCGAAAATCCCAGCCTTTGCCCTCACGACGTTCTCAAGACGCTCCAAGATGCCCCCCAAAGGCCCCAACAGGCCCCCAAGAAGCCCCCAGGAGGCCCCAGAAGGCTCCTAAGAGGCCCGAAAGTGGCCCCAAAACGACCCTCAAGAGACTTCCCCAGGCCCCTTGCTCAATCCCCTGAGCCTCAGTCCTCAAGCCTGAGGATTCTTAATGGGCCCGGACCCCAAACTCTCAAATCTCTTGGGGTTCCCCGCGCGCCCTCTGGGGCCCCCAGAAAGTTCCCACATGACTTTTTCGAGCCCAAGAGAAGCCCAAGACGGGCAAACAGGACCCCAAGAGGCCCTCAAGACGGCCCAAGAAAGCCCCGAATCACCGAACGGTCGGCCTAAAACGCCCAACATGGCCCCATGGCCATTACCATGATAAACATCATCATGGTCATCATCATGGTCATCATCATCAGCAGCAGCAGCAGCATCATCAGCATCATCATCATCTTCTTCATCATCATCATCATCAGCAGCAGCATTGTCATCATCATTATCATCATCATTATCCGGAGCGCCCCGGATCGGCGGCACTGGCCAGAGGCCAGCACACTAACTCCTTCACGTCGCACCCCGAGGCCAGACGGAAAGGCGGACCGGGCGTTTCGCCTCAAACTTCCGTACCACTCACGATGCTGAAGCTTCAAGACTGGAGCCAGCTTCGCAAGACTTGCAAGGGGCTTCACGAATGGAGCGCGGGCCGTCTTCAAAATGTGGCTCTCGCCTGCGCGGCACGTGCACTCGTCGGAGAAATTTGCAAGAGCTTCACGGATGGAGGGCGGGACGTTCCCGAGATTCGGTTATCGCCTCAGCGCCGCGCGTGCTCGCCTTCAACACGTGCAAGAGTTTCGCGGCCTCCTGTGGTCAACGTACCAGAAGCCGCTGTCTGGAACGATTCAGGATTGTCAAGGCGCAGCAGTTGCGTTGATTCGCAGTGCTGAAGTCCCAGGAATGGTGTTTTGGCGCGCGATTCAGGATCGTCAAGATGCAACAGTCAAATTGATTCGTAGCGCTCCCAACGAGGCACATCCCTCAGTGGAAATGGATCCTTGTAGTGGCCTGCGAAGAGGGAGCTTGGAGGGAGGGTGTATTCCAGCATCGTTGCTGAGTCTTGAGTTTGCACTGGTCCTCCGCGCCCTCATCTTCGTCATCATAACCATCGTCACAGGAATCATCATCTCTCTCATCGTCAACTACCAACGTCATCATAAGCACCATCAGCATGATCAGTATCAACATCAGCATCATCATCACCAACATTACCAAATCATCAGCAGCATCTTCGTCGCCATCATCACCATCATCATCACTATCACTAACCTCGTCATCACCATCCTCGTCCTCGTCCTCCTTCTCATCAGCAGTATCAACACCACCGCACTATTCCTCATCATCGGCATACTCATCATCATCATCATCATCGTAATCACGAGCATCATCATCAGCATCATCAAATGCAACATCATCGTCCCCATCATCATAATTTTCATTCACCGTCACCAGTCATCACCCGTCGTCATCATCACCTCCACTTTCATCATCGTCATCATCAACATCGCCACCACCATTACCATCATCATCATCATCATCATCATCATCATCATCATCATCATCATCATCATCATCATCATCATCACCATAAACAACAACATCATCAGCAATATTATCAGAAACACAATCGTCACCGTCATCGGCATCTGGTTCCCCGTCATTATTCTCCCCCTCATCTTCTCTCTCTCCTCCCCCCACACCTCATCCTCATCGCTCCCTCCTCTTGCACGTGGCCGATGACCTGGCCCGAGCGTAAAACTCATCAGTCCTCCTCCTCCTCCTCCTCCTCCTCCTTCTCCTCCTCATTATCATTTACCTCTTCCTCCTCCTGCTCCTCTTCCTCCTGATCCTCCTATTCCTCATCCTCCTTCTGTTTCTGTCATTGCAGTCACAAGCGTCATCGCGGTCGTAGGCGTTGCTCCGCTCTGGGCCTTCTTCCCGCACGACATGACAACCGGCTTGGCCTGCCGGGGGGCTGCGCGCCGCCTGGTTCTCCGTCAGTCCGCCAGTCCGCCCGCCTGTCGTCAAGGCCCTGTGCCCCGCGAGGGAACGAGCGCCACTGCGGCGAGCGCAATCCAAACCACGGGGATGGACGTGTAGCGCCGCAGCGCTCAGTGTGTCTTCTCGGCGAGAGTTTGTTGAAAATGATGGATGGCGCTGTCTTTGTGGGTCATGTGCCCACTCCGTGTTGTAGCTTTGAACCCGTGTCTTCGAGTACCTACACGGGTCGTCACACCACATCTTCCAAGCTATCTGAGCCAGGGCGCTCAGATCATCCTAACTCCGGGACGCGTCGGCCGAGGCCGCCCTGTCCCTTGTCGGTGACCATGGCGAGGCCCGAGGGAAGGATGCCGAAACGCGTCCTTGGGCTCGGCAAGGCATGCGGCATTAGGGTGCAAGCCCGAAATTGTTGGCTGTCGCTCCGGGGGTGAGGGGGGGGGCCTGGGCTCGGGGAACTACGTCGCAGCACCGTTCAACGATGAGCTGTGCACCAGACGCCTCCCAGGGTGGGCCCTTTCCCGAAGCCGCTCTGCGGTGCGGATCTTAAGCGTGCGCTGTCTCCGTCTACGTCGCTGTCGTCGGCGTCGTGGTCGTTGTGCGTGGGGCTTGACTCGGGACTTGCTTCACTTGAGCAGTGACCACCGCCACCACCTTTATACTTCAACATTTTGCTTGCATCCTCCTCCTCCTCCTTTCGCCTCCCCCCTCGTCGTCCTCCATTTACTCCAGCTCCGCTCTCCTCCTCCTCTTCCTCTGCGTAATATTATTATTATTATTGTTCCACCTTTTCCACCTCCTCCTCCTCATCCCTCCTCCTCCCTCCCTCGTCCTCCTCCTCGTTCCTCCCTCCTCCCTCCTCCCTCCTTCCTCCTCCCTCCTCCCTAATCCCTCCCTGCCTCCTTCCCTCCCTCTCCTCCGCCTCTGCCTCCTCCTGCATTCCTTGTCCCGATACAAAATTCTCTCCGTCGCACCCCGGGTCCAGTTTTTAGGGCGGACTGGGCGTGTCGCTTCAGACTTCCTCACCATGGATGGCTCCGAAGCTTCAAAGCTGACAGCAGTTTCACAGATGGAGGGCGGGCCGTTTTCAAAGTGTGGCTCTCGACGTGGCGCCGCGCACATTCGTTCCAAAACTTCGCAAGAGTTGCACGGATTCAGAGCGTGTCGTTTTCGAAATGCGGCTCTCGCCTACGCTCCGCGCGCCGTCGTTGTTTTAAATGTTCGCAAGGGCTTCACGGGTTGAGGGCGGGTCGTTTTCAAAAGGTGGTTCTCGGAGGAGCGCCGCGCACATTCGCTTTGACGATTTGCAAGAGTTTCGCGGATTCAAGGCGGTGCCTTTTCCTCTCGCCATAGCGCCGTGCACATTCGAATATGACATGTGCAAGCACCAGATTTGATATGTTGGAGGGGTTCAGGAGCATGCGGGTGCAACAGTTACTTTAATTCGCGGTGTTGAGGTCCAAGGAACGGCGTTCTGGAACGATTCAGCATCGTCAAAGCGCAACAATCAGGTTGATCCGTGGCGTTGGAATCCCGACACACATGTTTTGGTATGCGTCAGGGTCTTCATACGGTTGTCTTCCAACGAAGCAGTTCCCTCAATAGAAATGAACCGTTGTAGGGGCCTCTGAAAAGGAGCTTGTAGGGAGGGTTGACTCCAACATCATTGATGACTCTTGGGTTTACACTGGTCCTCCTACTCCACCTCCTCCTCCTCCTCCTCCTCCCTCCTCCCTCCGTCCATCTCACTTTTTACGCCCTCTTCTTCCATCTCCTCCTCCCCCATTCCTCCTCACCCTCCTCCCTCGCGGGCGGGGCCGCCCCAGCACGCATGCTAGCGCGCTACTGGAGCCATCCTGCGTCGAGACGGGCAAGAGCACAAGCAGGAACAGGAAGGAGCGGGAGAGGGGGAGGAGGGGAAATGGGTGCGGACGGCGGGCCCCGACGGAGGCCCCGCAACTTCCGCTCCTCTTCTTCCCTCCCCCTGCATCCGCCCGACCCCCACTGCCTGCCCCATCCCCCCACTTACTCCGCAGTCTCCCCTCCACGTCCTCCCGTCGCTTCCCCCCCCCTCTCTCTCTCGCCGCCGCAGTCCTCCCTCCCTCCTTCCCCCTGCCGCCCTCCTCCCTCCCGTGGCGGGGTCGTGGGTTGTCTGAGCCCAGTCCGAGGAGGAGGTGGAGGAATAATGAGCAGAATAAGCATGAGCGTACTTAGACGACTAAACATAACGAGAAGGAGGACACAGCAGAGAGTGGGCGGGGATCGTCTCGGCCACGATCGCCCTCCTCCAACAAAACCCCCAGAAATGCCAGGGCAGGGCCTTGGACCTGCCTCCTCCTCCTCCTCCTCCTCCTCCTCCTCCTCCTCCTCCTCCTCGTGTTCCTCCTCCTCCGCCTCCTCCTTCTGCTCCTCCTTCTCTTCGTCCTGCGTTTCTCTCTCCGTCCTCCCCCCTCGCTGGGCCCTGGCCCGGACCGCCCCCCGCCGATCCCCCCCCCCCGGACGCGCGCGCCCTCACGCAGTAGACGCCGAACGTCCACTCGTCCCGATTGGCCCGGGACCTGGCCCCGCCCGCGGGCATCCTCCTCTCTGGCCCCGCTGGCCCCGCTCCCTACTCTGTGCTCCTCGGGCTCCGACTCGTCCTACTCCTGCTCGTCTTCGTGTCAATCGCCTGCCTCCTCCTCCACTCTGCCTCCCCCCTCTCCTCCCCACTCGTCCCCCTCCCCTCCAACTTGTTGTCCTCATCCCACTTCCCCTCCTCCTTTCCGTCTGGCTCCGACACATCCGAAGCCCGCACCGCTCAGTCCTCCGCCCCCTTTTCCTCCTCCTTGTCCTTGCTGGCGATCCATCCTCCTCTTCCTCCTCCTATTCCTCCTCCTCTTCCTCCTCCTCCTATCCTCTAGGCAGAGTGTCCAAGCGTTGTCGTCAACCGCCTCCGCGATGGCCACAATACCGCCAAGAGCATGCCATAATCCCCATGGCGCAGCCGCCTTCTGCTGCTCAGGCGCGCCCAGCACGAAGTTCGATCGCCATGCCGTTGCGGCGTGCAGCCACGTCCTATTCGTCAGCCCTCTGGGCCTCCACGATCTTCCCGGCCTCCTGCCTTCATGGCCTCCTCTGCCTGTCTGGCTTCTGGTCTCCTCCCTTCCTTCACCTCGACGGCCTCTTCGCCCTCCTCCCCCACCTCCTCTTCCTCTTCCTCTTCCTCCTCTTCCTCCTCCTCCTCCTCCTCCTCCTCCTCCTCCTCCTCCTCCTCCCTTCTCTCCCCCCCTCGCTCATCCGCCTCCTCCCACTTTCCCTCCCCTCCCTCCCTCCCTCCCTCCCTCAATAGTGCACGCCCCCGGCGAGTTCCGAGTTCCTTCATCCTTCCTTCCTTCTCCCTCATCCTCATCCTCATCCTCATCCTCATCCTCCTTATCACGATCCCCGCCAATAACACCATCGCAAACACAACACCCATCAGCATTAACACCATCATCACCAACGTCATCATCAGCATCACCGCAAGCATCATCATCAGCAACATCATCAGCAGCAGCATCAGCATCATCATCAGAAAACTCATCATCAGCATCCGCATCATCATTATCATCATCATCGTAATCACCATCATCATCATCATCATCATCATCATCATCATCATCATCATCATCATCATTATCAGCAGCATCATCATCAGCATGATCATCATGATCATAATCACCATCATGAACAGCATCATCATCAGCATCGGCATCGACATCATCATCAGCAGCATCATCATGAGCAACAGCATCATCAGCAGCATAATCATCATCATCATCATCATCAGAGTCATCATCATCAGCATCATCATAATCAGCGCCATCATCATGATCACAATCAGCATCATCACCAGCATCACCATCATCATCACTATCACCAGCATCATCATCATCACCACCAGCCGCATCACCATCATCCCCACCACCATCATCGTCAGCCGCAGCATCAGCATCATCAGTACCATCATCACCACAACCCCCATCATCAGCATCATCATCAGCATCGTCATCGGCATCGTCATCGTCATCGTCATCGTCATCATCATCATCATCATCACCGTCACCATCACCATCACCATCACCATCACCACCATCATCATCATCATCATCATCATCATCATCATCATCATCATCATCATCATCATCATCGCCACCATCATCATCAGCAGCAGCATAATCATGATCATCAGCGGCAGCATCATGACCCTCGTCCTCATATTAGTCAGCATCATCATCACCAGCATTACAACGATAACAATAAGAATCATCATCAGCAGCATCATCAGCAGCATCATCAGCCGCAGCAGCGTCGTCGACGTCGTCCCTCTCCCCCTCGCAGGGAAAGCCCATGGTGATTGAGGGAGGGAGGAGGGGTTGAGGAGGCATGGTGCGGGCCCGGCGTCTTCCAGCTACGCCTCGTTTGTCACAGACCTTGCGAGCGCACGGGCCCGTCGGGCGGCTTGGGGGCGCTGAGCGGAGGACGTCGTCCAGCTACGCAGGGGCACGGCACCTTTCGATGACCCCCAGAGCGTGCCAGCGCCAGCGTGCAGTCGGGGCCTTGACCTAAGGAGCCCAAAAAAAATAAGGAACGAGGCCTCTTTTTTCCATAAGTTAAACTTCGATTTCCGATCGAAAACATAAGGAAAACCTGAGGCAAGCTGCGAAACACTTAAGGAACGCGGAGCCCCTCCCCAACGAAAAGGGTTCCTTCTTCAGGGCCCCGACTGTAAGCTGGCCCACCGAAGCCCTCCAACACGACGAAGGTGCAACGGACCGCCGACACAGGCCGAACGGTGCAAGCACGCACTGGGCGCACACACGCCCTGAGAATCCTCGGGCCCCTGCCCCCGCTGCATCGGCGGGGCGTGCCGCACACGAGGGCAGCACGTCGCCGACCCTTCACCACCCGCCTCCCCCAAACACCCCCCCCCCGACGCGGACGCGGCGCCCACTCCTTCCGCGGGGCGGCCCCGCGAGGGGGGCTGGCCGGTGGCGCCTCGGCCTCGGCGCCGACGCAGAACTCGAGACCGCGCCGGGCCGCCGCCTCCTGGCCCCTCGTGGGGCGCCATCATGAAGATCAAGGCGGCGTTCGACGCCGCGGAGAAGGCTGGCAAGATTGACGCCCCCCAGCTGCAGGCAGTTCTCGAGTCAGTCCGTGCCCAGGGAGGCTCAGAGAAGACCCCAACGCAGATGGCCCAGTCGATGACGCGGAAGCTGGGCCAGAAACAGAAGGTGCTCGAGAACCACAAGGTCGCACTCGAGCAGCTGATCAACGAAGCGATGGAGGCAGAGCAGTTGTGCAAACTCAAGCAGGAGAAGGTGCAACAGAGAGAGAGGCAACGATCAAGCAGTGCCTAGACGAGATCGCAAAGATCGAAGCAGACCAGAAGCTGTGGCTCTTGAAGGCGAGGGGCGAGGAGGGTCCGAAGGCCCCACAGGTCCAGGCGTTCGAGCCGTTCAACGGGATAAAGTCTGCGTTGGAGTCCATGGGCCAGGCGGTTTCGGCGGATCCCCAGCTCGCCCTCGCCTTCACGGCGTTCGCGCAGGCACTGAAGCCGCACGCCCAGCCGCCAGACACGCCACAGGCGGCCCAATAGAGTACAGCAGCGAGTTCAGTGGTCGCCCCGGTTGAGCCAGGTGAGCCACAGATGGCACCAGGCGGAGGTGGAGCCTCGCGCCCTGCGGTGGTGGATGCGACTGGCGGTTCTGCGACTCCGCAGGCCGCGGGTGCCCCTGGAGGCCCAACTGGGCCAGACCCCACCCCGACAGCCGCAGCCGCCACCACGGGAAGCCGCCTGGAGCCGCCTGCGAACAGAGTGGGGGGGGGGCAGGCCGGAGGGGCGCAGAGTCGCTCACCTCACCGTAGCGGAGGCACCGCCCCCCCCCTCCCCCCCAACGTTAATAACCAGAGTTGCAGAAGCAAGTGCAGACCACTCACGTTCTGCACAGTGAATGGGTCCTGCTGGACCATGGTGTTTGACTTCTTGGCTGACTGCAATGCGTCTATTGCATTTGTCCAGGAACATAAACTCAACTCAACTTGGTAGGAACTTTTGAGGCCCGCCAGAAACTCAGTAAAAAAGGCTGGGCCTCTTTTTGGGAACCGTGCCTACTTGGGCCCGCTGGTTTCCCGAGCGGGGGTGTAGGCATCACAGCTAGGAAGCATCTAGATCTCTGGGTGGACCCCCGCAGCCTTGGCATTTTGACCCCAGAGAGGCTCCTGCGTGTGTACTGTAGAACGAAGGCCCATGGCCTAGTGAGTCTGTATTCGAACTACTGGGTATCTGGCACGGGACTGGGCCCTGCGAGAATCTGGCTCAACATGACCTTGGGGCAGCACATCCTGGAGACGGGGGTGCCGTTCGTGGCGGGGGGGGGGCTTCAACATCGAACCTGACATCTTAGAGAGCGCGTTGGCTCCAGGCAGATTCGGAGGGGTAATCTGCAGAGCAACGGTCCCATTTTTCTTGCGGAGACTGAATCTAGCGAAACTCTGGACTCGTCATGGCCAGAGGCTTTGAGCTTAAAGGCATGCCTTAAAACTCAATCTCCCCGAGGGTGGGGGGGGCGGGAGACCAAAAACAACTTGAGCGGAGAAAGGCAGCAGGGTGTTGGCGAGTGCACACCAGTGACAGGCAGCATATTCTATTTGCCCAACATCACACGTAGAGCAACGGTCCCATTTTTCTTGCGGAGACTGAATCTAGCGAAACTCTGGACTCGTCATGGCCAGAGGCTTTGAGCTTAAAGGCATGCTTAAAACTCAATCTCCCCGAGGGTTGGGGGGGCGGGAGACCAAAAACAACTTGAGCGGAGAAAGGCAGCAGGGTGTTGGCGAGTGCACACCAGTGACAGGCAGCATATTCTATTTGCCCAACATCACACGTATGGCCCCTCTGCTCAACCCGTTCTAAAACCTCCAGAGCAACGGTCCCATTTTTCTTGCGGAGACTGAATCTAGCGAAACTCTGGACTCGTCATGGCCAGAGGCTTTGAGCTTAAAGGCATGCCTTAAAACTCAATCTCCCAAATCATCCCGAAGCTATCCAGGTAGGATGTTCGCTAGGGTGGGGAGAGAAAGGGTGGGAGTGACAAGCTCGCTTTTCAACAGTACTAGCTAAAAGGGTAGAGACCATTGCTCGTGCCAGACCAGGAGGGTACTCAGAAGCAATGCGGGTACGGCGGAGGCCGCCTGGCCCCCCGCCGCTGAGTTGCCAATGGGGTTTCCCAGTCTTAGAACATATACAGCCTTTTGGTCGGCATCGACGGGTGAGCTTAATTATATCTTCGTGATTCACGTGTGCACAGAGGAGCCGTGTGGGCTTCTTCCATCTTGCTCCATACTGACACTGGTCCAGTTCAGCCAGATAGACATGTCTATGGTGCGATAAGTCGCACACCTCAGCAGTATGCCACAGCCGGCTCGTCAAGGGATGTTCGAGGATTACGGGAACTCCCAGCTTCAAAAAGAATCTGAAGAGGGAAAGCGCAACCCGAGCGAGGCGGTTGCCTAATTCCACTGCTTCGGCATCGGCAGG